TGAACGTGAAATTAAGCGATCAACTATCAAGTTGACCGTTTAATGAGTGCATAGTCGTGCTTTATTAATTTTATTAATTCTTTTCATTTTTTTAAAAATCTTTTATTTGACTTTAGTTTCAAGTTTTTAAATGATTTACTAATTAAGAGTGCTTTTGAAGGGGTAAGTACTAATTAGGTTGTTACATTTTACTTATTGATTTTTCACTATGACATCATTTCTACCCTCATTTATTTTGGCAAATGAATAATTACTTGAATATGTTTTGCTCCATTAAATGTACCTTTTTTCCCTGTCGATACACACCAAGAAAAGGAATAGATTTGATGTTATATGGATGAATAATCTTGATCATGTCCAAATTAATGCAAGGTTGATGAACAAGAAAAAGAGGAAGGGCAAAATAGAGAAGTGATGCTACTAATAAACAATCTTGGATTGTAGTGGATTGTGAGGATGAGGAGAATGATGGGGTGGAGAATATATCCCACATCTTACAAGAGGAACTAGAAATGCTCAAAATGAAATAAGAGAACCCGATGATGATGATTTTGTATCGGACGACACAAAAGACGAATTAGATGAAGAAGATGATATTGAATACGAACTAGATAAGATTTGAACTATGGTGCCATTCACATTTTGTAATTATGACTTTGAAATTTATAATTTTATTGAAAACTTCGAAATCATATGTGAAGTCTCTATAAATCCTTTAAGTAGGATTTTTCTAGTAGAAATTATGAAAAATAACTTTTACATTTGGAAAACTTGAAAATTGTATAATTGATTAATTGCATGAATTATTAAATAAGTATAACATTTTATAATTTTAAATGTTTTGTATGTATTATTTTAATTATTAAATAATTTTTAGAATGATTAAAAATAATATTAAAAATAAGAATATATTTTTTACGCCTAACTATGCTTTACGCTTTTTATAATATTGAAAAATACGTTCATTCATTCATTTAGGGATTAACGAGAGCGAGCTTTGTGAAAGGAAATTTCATCTCAGCGCTCCAACACTGTCATTGGTGAGTTGAGCTGAGCTATTCATTAGACAATTGTAATTCAGTAATTAATTTGTGGCATGGGTTGATTTTGATCCACCACCACTCCTTCTTCAGTCTACATTTTTTTTATCTTCCTGAAATTACATCCAAACCTCGAGGACTAAAATGAACTTTTCCAATAATTGAATTGGTTGCTCGATCTACTGTGTCTTTTTCCTGGTCAGAAAAGTTTGAACCTTTTTCACTGGCCATTATCTGAGATAGAAAATTCCGATTCAAACTCATTTATAGCTTTCGTTTATGTAATGAAATTGAACCCACAAATTGTATTCCATTTCTAATTTCAAACGAACGTTCATTAAAAGGGAAAAAAATCGAAGAATATATAAGGCATCGAATGGGGGAGGAAAACGAGGCCTCGAATTCTAACCCCGAACCAGATGCGAGCAGCAGCGAAGAATCCCAAGTGATATTGAATGTATATGACCTTACACCTGCAAATCAGTACTCTGTTTGGTTTGGTTTTGGCATCTTCCATTCTGGCATTGAAGGTGAGAAATCAAGAAACGGCTTCTCTTGTCTTCTATATATTTTGCATATGTATATATACCCTCGTGGGTATATGTATTTGTGTGGATTTAGGCCCTCGGCTGTTTTCTGATAAAACATGAGATTGGGTTCTATTAATTTGTTAAAATTTTGAGGTAGTTATGTGGAAGAGGATAATGGGGAAATTCGATTGAGATCTTAAAATGAGAATTATTTTATAACGATGATTTTTATCATTATGTGTTTGAATTCTAGTTGTTTGAACTTTGATTCAGATTTCTTGGATGAAAATATTAATTGGGTTTTTTCTGTTTCTGTTTCTGTTTCTTTAATCTTTCTACTGGATTTGGCCACAGTTTAATACCAGCTCAAAGATTGTTTTCATTATCACTATCTTGTGTCATGATGATTTGAGCTGTCTCTTCGAGTTTTCTAAAGCCGGGAGTGATTTTAGATTGAAAAAATCTCAATATTGTATTCGTCTAGAA